ACGAAAAATATAATGACTAGATATCACTCGTGACAAGATGCCCAGTAGGATTAAGAGAGACGTAAGACTAGCGCTGACATTATCCACGCCATGTTAGTATAGGAGAGCTGCAAAAGGAAGTAGCATATGTGTATTGAGAATCCTCGGACAAAAGGAAACCTTGTCCTGGAGAGATCTCATAAGACACGTGGTGAACCCCTAGCAGTGTCCCCCTAACAACTGACACCAAATCAAAGATCCCCTTTCCAAATGGGAATCAAACTCTTTTGGCTCCTTCCTTTCAAGACCTCGGGATCTCTCCCTATAAAGGGAGGCATGATTCATAACGAACACACGATTTTGTCAATAGAAGCACTTAGCCTACCCTTTGCTCTCTGCCTTCCTTCATCTTTCAAGGAGACCGCCACTCTTAGCCTTACCATACCACTCACAGATGCTATCCAGCTTAGCACTACACAATAATGCAATTGATTTGAAGATTTCTTCCTTCCATAGGTGGAAGGGGAGACCAAGAATACGAACAAACCCCATCTTCTATGGGAAAACTTTTCTCATTAGACAATGGGCTCCATTTTATCACTGTGAAGCTTCCAGATTCTCCCGCAATATACAAGTTACATCTACCACATCTACTAATTCCAGCAAAGCTTTCTGCTTTTTAAAGGGAGTTATTATTACCGTCCCCTTTAGCTGTAAGTCCTTAATTATGGTTTCTACTATTTTCTTCCAATTTAGTGGTTGTTCCATTCTCTGAACCACTAGCTTCTTTTCCCAGTCACCTCTCTCCCAATTTGCTATGACTCTGAATAGACCTCCTTTGCATGTCATAACCTGTATTTTATCATTAGCTTCCTCTTCCTTCGACTCATTAGTTTTCTTTTTTTGTCTTCCTCTACCACCTCATCCTGCCTCAAAAACTCCTTCAAAGTTTAATCTCCTTCCAACCTTCCCCTCTTCTTCCTTTTGGGAAGCAGACAACCTGCTTCTTTCCTCAACCAAAAAGTTCATAAAGAGTGATAATACCTGCCTTTACCATTTTCCTTTCTTTCAACATTGTAGGTTCTTTCTTCAACAACCGTCAATTCTTTGAACACAGAGTTTCTGCCCATCTGTAATGCTCCTTCCATAAACAGCATAAACCATTCAATCACCTCCTTACCTACCAGTAGTACAATCGCCATATTAGTTTCACTAATCTTCAATGCTATATTCCCTCTGGATCTATAACTCTCAAGCACAAAAGTCTTTGCTTCTATTGATCTGTGGCAAATGGGATAAAGTGAAAACCCCCTCTAAGTTGGAAAATGTATGGTTTGATGATGATAGCTTCATTCCTAATGGTAAGGGCTGCTTGGTGTGAATCCCAAGTGGATGGTTCCAACTCATTCATTATGGCAAAAAAGTTGAAAGCAATCAAGGAAAAAAAATCAAGATCTGGAAATTAGAAAGCAATCTGAATTCAGAAACAGAAAAAAGAGCTTTCTGAGTTTGATTGAAGACATTAATCGAACTGAAGAATTTGGGCCAATTTCGGAGGAGTTAAGGTTGAAGAGATTTTAAGCAAAGTCCTTGTATGACAAACTGGCAGTCAAGGAGGAGTTAAAATGGAGACAGCCAAAACTACCTGGCTGAAAGTGGGAGATAAAAATTCTCAGTTCTTTCATAAATTGGCAAATGCCCGAAACAGAATCTCCTCAATTAGTAAGCTGATTTGGGAGGATAAAGTGGCAAATGCCCAAAGTGCCTCATCATGATGAAATGTTTAGGATCCTTCAATATCTAAAACGATGCCTTAGTAATGGTTTTTAAGGATCATGGACATTTATCCAAATCTAGTTGCACTAATCCAGATTGGGTAGATTCACCTAGCTGATCAAAGATAATACTACTGGGTACTGTATTTTTTCTTGGTGGGAACTTGTTACAATGTATTAAAACGCAAAGGCATCATGTAAGTCATTCCACTACCCAGAGGTGTGAAGCGCAGTTCAGAATGCAAGAGGCATAAGGCTCCCAAGCACAAGGAGACGTAAGCCTCCTCATGAGGGAGGAGAGGGGAAAAGCAGGAGGAAAAGGAAAAAGGAGAGGGAGGAGTTCTTGTTTCTTGTTTCCAAGTGTATAATTGAGCAATGCTGCTCGCCTAACCAAATATTTTACAAATTTTCTTCCTATCCATGGATAGCAGGTCCCATTAGAGTTGTTCTATATTGACCCCTTCTCTAGGTTCCTTTGAAAAATAGGTTTCTTGAGAACATTCATAGAACCCCATGGGACCTCTCCTCCCCCAGGTTCTCCAATAGCCTACTTTTCAAAAATATGTTCCTTGAGAGCATTCCTAGAAGTCCATGGGACCTCCCCTCCCCAGATTCTCCAATTTAACAAGCCAGTCACCTCCTACTTCCACCTCTTGTCTTCTAGAATTCAAGTAACAGAATGGCCTCAATTCTTCTATAGATCCATCAAAATCTTTAAGAAGAATGACTAATGCAGTACCTTTAGAGGAAACAAGAATTTTAATGGATACACCCCATGGTTTTAGGGTTAAAGCTTGAAATTTCATAGGAAATAGGATTTAGAAAATTATGGGCTCAGTAGAGTTAGGGTCTTAAAGGGTTACTGGTTTTGGTTTGGAGGTAGGAGAGGATGAGATAAAAGACAGGTTTTGTAGGTTTGGAAGATTACAGTTGCAAAAGAAGCAGAATCTTAAAGGGAAAGCTTTGTGGTAGGGTGTCTAGGATTCACTTCTATAAGAGAAAGCTTCTCACATTGAGGGGAATCTGCTCTTTCTTTTCAAAACAACTGTTGTAAAATGTGATTACAAGACCTTATATAGGCACTGGTCCTGTAGACATACCTAAGCTGAAAATTCCAAAATACATGTAACTACGTAAATAAAGAAAAGAAAAAGGTAATAAAAGTTCATTATTATGTAAATAGAATGAGCAAAAGTGAACCTAGAACTAATTTGTCTATTGAATATTTGAATCCAAAAACACTCCATCAAGGCCCTATAGAAGTTCCCATGTTGTCCATGCTCCATTTTCATACCACCAAAGCAAGGCTTCGGAGCTGATATTTTTCTGCTTATTGTGCATCTTATATACTTTAAAATCTTGTGAATGATCCATATCAATTACATTTCTAAACTGATATATGCTGCTGAAGAAATAGGTTTAGCAGAGAAAAAAAGAAGACTAACTGCAGGTAGAAAAGAGGAGAAACTCCCAAGCTCCTGTTTGATTGAGACTTGGAATCAATTAGTCTCACCTAGAAGGCAGCTGGGTATATATATTAAGCAATAAGAATATCTAATTACAATGATAACCCTGTTTAGTAATAAAATAAGGACTAGTGTGTCCTTCATTTAACAAGCCTCACAAACACAATGCATTATCAATGGCAATATGTCATCCCAGAAGCTCAGTTGCACTTTTCAATACAGGTAAAAAAGATAATGAAGTATGCAGCAGATAATACAAGACTGGTGAACTAGAGAATACTGTAGAGAAAATAGATAAACTTAAAGAATAATTTATAGAATTTTTTTGGCTTGATTTCAAGGAACTTCAAGTTGAACTCTGAATCATTGGAAACCTATCAAAAAAATTGTGAATTATTTGAAAGCTGAAGCTTAAAAATCTTTAGAGTTGATCCAGTGTGCTGACTTTTTTTTGATAAATAACAGTGATGAAATTTTATTAAAAAGCAGCAATATATACAATCAGTACTAGGCTCCCTAAGAGAGGTGCGAGATGCAACCTCTCACAGAAAAACATAAAAACATGCAACTGAGCCCAATACAAATGATCCCTATTAACCCCTTGCTTAGCTAATGTATGAGCCATTCCAATAGACAATCTTCTAGCAATGTATTCTAAAGGTCATGTTGCTAGTTAACCACTTAAACTTCTTAATTTCATCTCTATAAACCCAAATGACAGAACCCAGCWGCTTTAACCATCCACCACCAACTTGGAATGCCATGCAACTGAGCCCAATACAAATGATCCCTATTAACCCCTTGCTTAGCTAATGTATGAGTCATTCCAATAGACAATCTTCTAGCAATGTATTCTAAAGGTCATGTTGCTAGTTAACCACTTAAACTTCTTAATTTCATCTCTATAAACCCAAATGACAGAACCCAGCAGCTTTAACCATCCACCACCAACTTGGAATGCCCTTCCACAATCAGCTTATTCAAGTTCAATTCCTTTTTCCTAGCTTCAATGCTTGAATTACAACAAGGAACTCAGCTCTTATTTGAGTCCCTCTCCCCCACCATTTCCAAGTACAAAACAACAATATGGTCGTCTTTATCTCTAAATACCMCACCCACCCACCCAATGCCAGAGGGACCTGGATTGCCTTGACTGCTTCCATCAAAATTCAGTTTGATAAGATCTTCAGTAGGAGGTAACCAACCAGAGGGTTCCGGTTTATTTTTTGAAGAGTTATTTGCTACCACCAAAGGAAAAAGGTAAAAAAAATGTCCAACGTTTTAACCCAATGTATCACCTTAGTCACCACATATTCTTTCACCGCTTTTACACTTCTCTCTATTGTCATTCACTGAAGCTGTTCAATGACTTATCTAAAATATGTTTGTCAACAAAAACAGAAGTTTTGCTTTTTTTTTAGTTTGTTCAATGGTTGTACTTGAATTCCTATTACTTTGTTTATTTTGCTCCTTTACCACTACTCCTGTTCATTAATTCAAATAAAGGTTTCAAATTTTAAAAATAAAAATTGATCCAAATATTTTATAGATAATAGGGTGCATAATTGAGCCATCATTTCATGGTTCACAAATAAACACCGAGGTGAAAAGAGAAAAATGAGACAGCCTAAATATCTTGGTCAAAGCAGTAACATTTGTTTCTTTCCTTACTTCGCTGTTAAATCAGCATGCAGTATTATCTGATAAGCATACTCTAGCTCCTCCCCCTCTCCTCCACTCCCAGGGGCCCAAACCTCTATAACAGATTTGCATACCCTACCTCATCTTGGCGCCTTTGGCCTTCAAAGCTGAAAGGCTTCAGTACAACACCAACAGCCAATCCATTAGTTGATTTTACTGTTCCAAGAAGCTCAATGGCTGTCATATGATCCAAGCCATACCCTGCACTAGCCACCTATAACAAGACAAGAATATGTTACCCATGAGCATTGCATTTTGTAAGGAATTTCAATAAAGAGAAGTTAACTATAAATCTTTAATCAAAATAAACAAGCATACTGTAGCTCATCCAATGCATGATTCTTTTGTTAGAAGTTAGAACCAGGTACAACAATTTATTGTGGGGATATTTAAACATGAAACAAGAACCCTTTTGATTCATTTAAAACCGATAAAAATCCAGACTATCTAGTATTGCCACTCATTCTCAAGCAATAAAATAATGCATACCGCTCAGTGGTATTATCAGTGTTTTCTTGTCTTTTTTTCCTGTCAAGATAGCATCCACTTAAATACCACAGATGCATATGTATTTTCAAGGGTACAGACCAGCTCCAATCTTGACTCTTACACCATCAACAGCCACAATATTACTTTCCAATAACTCATTACAAATCTTTAAATCCACCTGATCCAAATTTCAAGAGATATGGGCTACAGACTTTATTTCTCTGAGTCTTTACACCTATCTCGCACGGAGACTCTTCGGCTTCCTTCAACGGCTGGCCACTTGCTTTCGATGACTGGCCTTTGCTTTCCTTTCCATGTGTAACCCAGCCTTCGCTGATATCATCATCTTCTTCCTTTGAACATTTCTCCCACAGAGACGATTCAGCTTCCAGAAGAACCCAAACCTTAATCCAGAGATCCTCTGCAAGCAGGTTTATGCATCTGGGAACTTCATCAGGAAGTAGGCCCACGATTCTTACTCTTACAGCATGCAGGTCTTGAAGATTGAATGCTACCAGAACTCCCCCCATCGCTTGAATCAGCTTTTCAAGTATTCCTTCATTCCAGAAATTGAAAGGGAGTCCTACTAGCCGAATCTCAAGGATTCTCACAGACATATGGTTCTGGCTACAGGAAACATACCAACTCTCCACCCTTTTTTTTTTTATAAATACCAACTCTCCACCCTTACCCTACCAGCTGGAGAATCCACCATCTCAGCGCCGGGAATTACAACTTCTTCACCAGCTCTAAGCAATACAGCCTTCAAATCATCGAAAGATCTGATGTTCACAATTCCTTTTATGTTGAATCTCTCCACAACCACTTCTGCAATTCTTCCCCAATCTGACACTTTTTTGGCTGCTGTTAAAATCAAGTTTTTCTCCCAAGCTTCTTTCTCCATATCTAGGAACACCCTTCAACTTCTGGTATTACTACATACAACTATTTGTGGAACTCCAACATTTTGTATTCCTTCCTTCGAATTTTCTCTGTAACTCTAATCATCACTGACCTCTGTGTCCCTTCTTTGTTTTGAGCTTTGTCTCTCTTTCCCTTTCAGCAGAAACTCCTGTAATATATCTGCAAACAATCTCCAACCTGTTCTCTTTCTACCCACTGGTACACACAGCGTCTGTTTTCTATTATCTCCAAATCTTCTAAGACCACCATGAACCATCCTTTCATGTTCCTCCTCAGCTCAGCTTCAAAACTTTTTTCCATCTGCAATCACTTCACACTCTTCCAGTGCAGTCATTTAATAGAGAAGGTCGTCCCGTCCAAGAAGCCCTTCAACCATCCAACCACTTCCTCGTCTGCAAAATGGTGGCCCTCTTCTCTCCTCTGATCTTTAGCATCCACCTATCCTTGTATCTGCATTCTTCAAAGCAAAAACTCTTAGCTTTGATGTCCGTTTTACTTCTTCATTTCACTATAGATGAGTATTCATCCAACTCCATTTCAATTGTTTTCTTCTCCATTTCACTATCTGCTTAAGTTCAATGAGATTTCAGGACTGCAGTAACCCTCGGTTGTCATTGTTGAGCCTTTCTCCATTGTTCAACATTGATGGAGCAACTGAACACCTCAAGTAACCCTAAACATTGTTCAACATTGATGGGGCAATTTGATAACAGCTGAAGTGATTTAACTAAAAAGCTTATTTTAACAAGTTTCAGTTCAACAATTTCAATGTTTTCTTCTTAAATTCTTTTTCTTTTCTTGGTCAAACACAGAGGCTACGCCCCCTTCAGTTCTTTTAAGTCTGAACTTCCAATTTCTAATATTTTGTATTGCATACTTTAAGCAAGACTGCAAGAATCAGAAGCACAAAAGTTAGTTTAGAGGTTTGTAGGTTAATGTATAAAACCAAATAACTAGCTCATAACGGGTAGAAACATGTAGGCTTCATATTTTTTTATTTCATCGCCTAGGCGCCTGGGTGCCCCATGGTCACCTAGCCTCTCCTTGGCACCTTGAAAACTATAGTTAAGGCAACCATCAACTTTGCATCTCTAGCACCTCCCAAAATCTCTCCCAAACTCTGATCGAGCAATCTGTGTTAAATCTGGAAGAACCATCACCCAGTCAGCCATCAACTTGCCAATATTTTCCACCACCCCCTCCATCTTCTGAACCTTGCCTTTAAACAACCTTTTGTTCTTCTCCTTCCAAATACCACAGAAGACCACAAAAGGGACACAGCTCCAAACAACTCTGGCTTTCTTACTACCACTAATCTTTGACCAACAAGAGAAGATTTCTGCTGAACATCTTAGCTGAGTATCTTACTCCAAAAAGAAAAGAGAATAAAATGTCAAATAAAATCTGCAATTTTGCAAGAGATAAACAGGTGGCAAACTGATTCCTCTTGCTCGAGACACATGTACTTGCTTCTCACTTTTCACGTATTAATGCTCATTTTATCTTGTTACCATCACATACAACCACATACATACCAAAAGACAAAAAAATAAAGAAATAAAACTAAAAACCCATAATGAAAGGCCATCATACAATAGAGAACCATGCCAGAATTGATTTCTACATTTAATTATCAAACAGTTATTGTGCAACTATACAAAGGCAAACTTAATGAACTATTATCACAACATCAAGAGAAAAGCAAATCATAAGCTTAATGAGACTAAAGAAAACTAAAAATAAATAGCGATAAGAAGAAAGGAGAAATGTACAAACAAGGATCATAGCCCGAGGACATGACTGCAATGACTGTGGACCTTCCACATTCCTTTGTACAATATCTGGACAAAGAAATAGTAAGATTTGTTAAAATACAAAATAAAGGTGAACTCCTACAAAACAGCGGCTAATGCAGCATACAGGAGCAAATAGTATGTAGTTTAAATGCTGCAAGTAGATCAAAAACTGAATCCAGAAACACCATGGAGGTGATTGGATTGACCAATCTCTATATTCATCTAGATCAGTGAGGGTTACAAGGAATGCTAGGATATAACCTCTTGCTTGTAGTGCAGAATGTGAACACCAAAATCAAGTAAAAAATGTCTCAAGCATCTACTTAATAAATAAAAATCTATTAAGGCTGAAAAGTACTCAAACCTTCAGAACTTGAAAAGTTTTCGTCTAAGAGAGATTTTGAAAATCATTGTTAGAATCCTACATAAGCCAACCACATGGATGCTTCTCACAACATTATACCACAGTTTATCCATATCCATTGGAATCCTCCAAAACCATTTCATAAAAAGAGTAGAGTTTCAATTGCCAAAGTTCTTCCTCCTGTTTACAAACCATTTCCACTTGATAAATATCTTCTTTGAGTCCCCTAGGTACCAACTTACCATTTTAAGAAAAAATTCATAATCTTTATCATTATTGTTAGAATCATAGGTGGCATAAAAATGATGTCTTTATTTTAAATAATTAGAGGTAGAGTTGTAACTCTACCAGTTATTATACAATAAAATAAGTTGAGCAGCAGATAGAGGCATTCTCTTCTAACTGAACCTAGTTCTCATTTCTCTATTCGGCAGATCAAAAAAGGGTGTTTTTGATGGTCAGGTTGGTTATACATGTTTTCTACTTCCTTGGGGCATTTGGATGATTTGGTATGGTGTAGAAGCAAACTAGTTCTAAGCCTATAAGTGTGGTTACTGTTGAAAGTCAATTCCGATTGCTATTGGGTGATTTTTCATTGATTTTGTGAGGTTGGCTATTGCTGGAAGTTAATTTAGATATGTTTTTGAGTGAACACACTGCCATAGTGATTAATTTGTTGAGTGATATAAAGTTGGTGGTGTGATTGGCTGTAGTGTATAGACTTGTGGTGGTTTATTCTTTACATGTCCTTTGAATTCTGCGAGCTGGATAGCACTAGACAGCTGGTGGTTAAGTTGTTGCGAAGCTGTGGTGTTTGTAGAAATTCCTAGCAGTGTTGGTGCTATGAAGTGTGCCATTTTATGTTGCAATGATGATTTCATAGTAACTTGTGTGTGGTGATAGCTCTGTTTTATGCCTACAACTACAAGGTGCTTGTCTGGTGGTCTTAGTGTGGGCAACAAGCTGCAATCCTCTGACTGGCTGATCAGTTCTTGAGATCGGCAATCAGATCTATTGAATTTTTTTGCATTGGCAGTTGTTGAATAGTTCATATGATAAAGTTGGATTTTATGCAAGGTGCCAACCAGCTGGTTGGTAAGGTCTCCTGCTGGTCGTAGCAGAGACTTGGGCAGCACCTGGGTTGGGAGATAGGCTACCCCCCCCCCCTAGTTGTGTAGCCCTTCAAAAGATATCAAAAAACAAAAGTTGGATTTTATGGCCATTGCTAGAGGTGGTGATCATGGTGGCAGGAGAGATGGAGGAAGTGCTAGGGATAGCACCATAAGTGGTGGTGGACGTGAGTAGGTGCATGAATGCAGTTATTGTGGCCAGTGTTTTTAACCCGTCATTAACCTGGCCAATTGAACTGTTCGAACCATCACCCGGCCTTAATTCCAGATCCGGTTCTGTTGAAACCCACCCTTCAATCAAAAAACGTTGACTCGGTCAAACACCATCCAACCCGGGCGGTTCAACCATTAACCCTATTTAGGGATGGCAATTTTCCCCATTTCCCCATTCCCTGCAGGGACCCACCCCGAATGGGGCAGGGATAGGGATGATTTTCCCCCCACGGGGACAAGAATGGGGAAATTTCCGTCCCCATTGACAAGGACGGGGCGAGGATGGGGAGAGCACTCCCCACCCCGCGGGGACCCCGAATCCCGCTCTGTGAGATCCCCGCTAATATATATGTATAATTGTATATATGTACACATACGTCTATATATGCATATATGTATTCATACATCTATATATTAATATTTTTAAAAACATGGTTGAATATGTTTGAATCTTTTTTAATAGGATTGTAATTTTAATTGTTTTAATTTTAAACCTTTTTTATGAATAAAAGTAAATTTTATTAATTCAAAAGCTGATTTAGAGTTGTGAATTCATACAACATCCTAGGGAGAGGCGCGAGCTGCAGCCCCTCCTAGAATCTTACAAGTAAACTAGGAAAGAAATACAGGAATCACAACTGAGCCCAAAACAATTCTTCCCTATTTACCCCTTGCTTGGCTAACACATTGAACAAAGTATTTTCTGATCTCCCCACCAACATATCCCTTGTCAACCAACTGAATTTCTTCATTTCGCTCTTGTAGCGCCATATAGCATCTTCAGGATTTTTCAACCAGCCCACCACCACTTTGGAGTCTCCTTCAATTATTAGATGTTGTAATTGACTTGTCCTTGAAGGGTGAACACCTCGCTATTGCTGACCAGTTTCTCCAAAGGTCATTAAAAGAGAATTGATGAAAGCTTTCCAAAGTCTTCAGCCAAAGCATTGCCCTATGCAACACACAATCTTTCAATTCCTGACTGCTCCTTTCCTTTTCTTGAAAAATTCTAGCATTCCTTTCTTCCCAAAGAGTCCAAATCAGGGCAGCATGAGCACATCTCCACATAAGTCTCCCTCTTTTTTGTAGGCCAAGAAAAAGTAGAATGGTTAAAGATCATGCGAATTTCTGCTAGTAGACTCCAACTACTCCCAAACATCGAAAGTAGCCAAGCCCAAAGGTATGCAGAAAAAGGACATGATATTAGTAGATGGTAACAATCCTCCCCATGAGCTCTACAGAGGATACACCAATTGGGAGAAATACAGAGGAAAGGTCTTCTCTTTTGTAGATTATCTAGAGTGTTTACTTTCCCATAGAATACTTCCCAACAAAACACCATAATCTTTGGGAGAACTGGCCTACACTAAATTTCCTTTGACGGAAAGGGTTGTTGAGCAGAATGCTGAGAGATGGACTTGAAGTAAGAAGCACAAGTAAAGGTTCCTTTGGGTCTAGGAGCCCACACCCTTTTATCTGGCTTGGAGTGATCCAAGCAAACCTAATTTTATTTAAACTTTTAAATAAAATTAATAAAACAAAAACAAAATGGTTGACATTATAAAAAATCACAGAGTGTGGGGATCCCCATGGGGATGGGGATAACCTTTTTCCCCATTGGTAGGGATAGGGACGGGGATGGAGAGTGGCTCCCCATCCCCACCCTGCCCAGTTGCCATTCCTAACCCTATTCGACCCCATCACCAGGTTGTGGGTTGCACACTCAATGTATGTGCAAACTTTCGGAGGCCATAACTTTGCACTCCAATGTCCAATTGGGGTGATCTTTTTTTCTTTTAATTTTGGGTAACTTTTTGGGATCTATGTGTCCTAATGTGTAATAAGTGCCTTGTCCCGTTATTTTTGCAAAAGAATAAAACCTTTTGTCCTCAAATCACAATTTTTAATATTTTTTATAAACAAAAAATAAAAACTTAACTAAAAAGCATAAATTAAATATAAAATAATACATATATAATATGTAAAACATAATTAGACACTATTTATTGATAAAATATGTATTTGTACACATATATACATATACACACACACATATATCATATATGTATATAAATATAGATACTTAAATATATACAGTGCTGACATGGAACGGTTTGACCCATTTGACCAGGAGGCTCGAACTGGTGACCCACAACCTAGAGGCAAAAGTGGGTCATTTTTAAAACATTGATTGTGGCTGTAAAGTAACAAAATCTTCAATGATAAATAGAGGGATAAGGCTTCTATTTGGGATTGTTTGCTGAACAGGGCTATTAATTGGGCTAAAGCATCGGGATTTTTTTCACAATTTTCTTTAGTTGACATGTGGAGAAACTAGGAAGTGGTTGCAAATTCTTCTTTAGTTAAGAACAAGTGGGGATAGGGATGGGGATGGGGATAACCTGTTCCCCGTTGGCAGGGATGGGGATGGGAATGGGGATTTTCGTGGGGACCCCCACCCCTCACTGTTGCCATTCCTAACCCTGTTCGACCCCGTCACCAGGTTGTGCATTGCACACTCAATGTATGTGCAAACTTTCGGAGGCCATAATTTTGCACTCCGATGTCCGATTGGGGTGATCTTTTTTTATTTTGGGTAAGCTTTCGGGATCTATGCATTCCAATGTGTTGTAAGTGCCTTGCCCTATTATTTTTGCCAAAAAAAAAAACCTTTTTGGCCTCGAATCACAATTTTTATCTTTTTAAAAAAAAAAATAAAGTTAATTAAAAACATAAATTAAATATAAAATGACATATTATATGTAAAACATAATTTTTTTATGAATACATGTAAAACATAATTATACACTATTTATTGATAAAATATGTATTTGTACACATATATATACATATACACATACACATATATATGTATATAAATTTAGATAAATAATATACATTGTTGACATGGAACGGTCTGACCCGTTCGACCAGGACGGTAAAACTGGTGACCCACAACCTAGAGGCAAAAGTGGGTCGGTTTTTAAAACATTGATTATGGCTATAAAGTAACAGAATCTTCAATGATAAAGAGAGGAATAAGGCTTCTGTTTGGGATTGTTTGCTGAACAGGGCTATTAATTGGGCTAAAGCATCAGGTTTTTTTTCACAATTTTCTTTAGTTGACATGTGGAGAAACTAGGAAGTGGTTGCAAATTCTTCTTCAGTTAAGAACAAGCCAGTTGTTGCCTAGAAGCCCCCTGAAGAAAGCTTTACCAAGATAAACTTTGATGGTAGCAGCCTTGGTAATCCTAGGCCTTCTAGTATTGGAGGAGTGTTTAGGAATGCAGAGGATCAGATTGTAGCCCTGTTTTCTATTCCAATCAGAATGAGGGATG